ACCACCAGCCTGAAGAGTTACCACCTACAGGGGCAGTTCTACCCTGCCCAATGGGGCGGGCTTGCTATGAGTTGAAATCGACTCCATGGCAGTGGATTTTGACTTCAAAAACAAAAAAAACCCACTTGCTTCTATTTAACACATCCTCAGTTGGACCAGCCACGTTTCACCTGTTGAGTGGTCCCAAGAGGCTTATGGGTACTGTTTTGGATTTAACAACCATAACCGTTCTTGTTCATGTGTGAGTTATAGCCAAACTTATGAAATCAAGTTCAACCAGATCCTATGAAGGCCTACTGTGTGTAAGAGGCTCTGTGCAGGGAGACTACAAAATTGGAGGGGCCTTGTCCTTTCCTTCAGGGAGCTTGCAGTCCAGTGTGGGGGAAAATAACCACCCACACAAGTTGTCTTTTAGGTGGATACAACTCGGACAGTTGTAAAGATAACTTGTCACAGATGATTCATTGACAAACTAGGTGACTAGTAACTATAAGAATGACAGGGAGAGACACTTCAGGGTCATGCAGTAGAGGAAGGCTTGAATTGAGTTTTAAAAGATGGGTAAGATCAGCCAGCTGGGGAAAGATGGGGAGGGTGCTGTCTTTGAATGGAACTGAACAAAGCTTCTTTTGTTTTTAAGGTTGAAATCTCGCAAGAGCCCTGAGGCTTTCAAACCGAAACACGCTTTCCTTTCTCATCAAAACGCTCCACCATGATCCATAGCCTTTTCTTGATCAACTCTTCTGGGGATATTTTCCTGGAGAAACACTGGAAAAGCGTGGTCAGCCGTTCTGTTTGCGATTACTTTTTTGAGGCACAGGAGAGAGCTACTGAGGCAGAAAATGTACCTCCAGTGATCCCTACCCCTCACCACTATCTCCTAAGTGTTTACCGCCACAAGATCTTCTTTGTGGCTGTGATCCAGACAGAGGTCCCACCTCTCTTTGTCATTGAGTTTCTCCACCGAGTTGTGGACACATTTCAGGTGCGTGAAGGTGGGGATATCCTTCTGTGTAAACCATGTCTATGTGTTTATAGTTCAGCCGCCTGCGTGCTCAGCCCATGGTAAGAAACATTTGTGAAAAACCCAAACTTGGACCTTGCTCACTTCCTCTCCCATCTGGGGAACATTCTTGTTCCTATTTATTGAGTTGGCTGAGCCTAAACCGGCATATTGAATACCTTTATACCTGTTGCATGAGAAACACGGCCCTCTATGGTGTGGTCACATCCAGTCTTTGAATGTGAAAGGGTTGTTTCACTTTTTTGCTTACAAATCAGAGATGTTGTTGTTGTTGTGTAGTTGACTTATTGCCAACTGTGGCTAGCTACATGGTGTTGAGTTGCACCAAAAAGTGGTAAGTGTGCAAAACTTTATAAAGGAAACAAAATTTGAAGCAGTGCTCGTTTCATGTCCCTATTTCACATCAGGTGTCAAGCGTGTCTCCATAGCATGGGAGTGCCAGTGACGAGCGCTTGTGGGAACATCCGCCTGAAAAATCTGTGCTCCTCAGAATTTCAGTGACTTGTTTAAAAGCCAAACCCAACCTGTTAACCCTCAAGCCAATTCTGACTCAGCCAATCTGTAGGAAAGAGCACAACTGGCCCCATAGGGTGTCCAAAAGGCTGTAATCTTTCCAGAAGGAAGCTAACACAGCTTCCTCCGTCAGAGAGGCTTCAACCGCGAATCCTTTGATTATCATCTGAGTGCTTGCCCACTGTGCCACCAGGTCACCATTTGACACACTTTACAAGGTGTCATGCTCATCTTGAGTTTTCCTTTCAGGAATAGATTTGGAGGTGGGTGGGAAGGGAAGAGTTGAGGGGATATGAGTTACGTCAGAAGGTCAGTGTTATGTACAGTGCAGAACTTTAGATTGCCTAGACTCAGATTGCCAAATGTCAAGCGTGTGTTGCTTAATGTCCACAATATGTTCTGTGAAATGGGACGATGTATGATTTGGCTATTGTGTTCAACACCATCTCTCTGTACGTGTATCTCTATGTACAATATGAGTACATATTCAGCAGACATAGATCAGTGTAACCCCCATGGTAGCTGCTTTGGTTCTTTGTTAGCACTTGGAGCCTTGGGGCTTGCAAACTTACACCTGCAATTGGCTGCCTCTGGACCCCGGGCATTCCCTGAGTAAGCCTGGGGAGAATGCGAAGCCCTGAGGGTCAGAGTGAAGTAGCTCCTTGCAGACATCAACGTATTGAGGCTGGGCGGGGTGTGCAGCCCCTGTGGCTGAGGCTCTGGGCTGTCATTGGTGTCCCTGCTGGGAGGGCTGGGGAGCTGCAGCTGAGCCCTGGCGGTAGCAGCAGGTGCAAACTCAATGCCAGTCCTGTCTCTTAGTGCCCTTCCTAGCAAGCCCTTTCCTCCTGCCCTGATTGCTCCAGCAGAGCTAGGTGTTGCACACCCACGCTTAGCTTCTGACTGTTGTGATTGTTCACACAATTCAAATGTAAGTGAGAAGCAAGGGCCCTTTGGTTTAATGTCTAGGTCATGTGAAGTCTGGAGCTAGTCATCTGAATACAGAAATCAGGGCGGTGGCCAAGAAGCAAAAGAACCCAGACATGAAAATACAAATTGAAAAGCAAACCAAAATGTCCTTTCATTTGCACTGATGCCAGGATCACATGTCTAGAGTGACTTTCATCTGAAGAGAACCAAAAGACATTTTGTAAGTTTTTCCCACAAATATTCTCTTAGTAGTACTGTCATTCTGGGATTCTCACACGCTTGTGCCATGCCCTAGCCCTTTCCCATGGAAAATCTAAGATGTATAATAAAAGTTCCCATTAAGAAACTAGAAATAGAGAACCCAGTATTTATGACCTTAAACTACCCTTGCTGTGCCTTATGTTTTCCATGGGATATTTTACCCCCTTCTAAGATGAACAGTCCCTGGGGTGAAATGTAACAGCTCCTTCATATCGCCCCAGAATCATTATGTAACTTATTACAAGAAAGGAAGTGTGAGAGAAGACGTTAAACCTAGTTGAAACCACAGAAGAATTTGGGCGAGCAGTGTTGAGGTTGCTGGTTGGGAAGTCGGGGACTTCAGAGCTTGCCATCTTTGAAGCATTTGTTCAGAGTAAATGATTCTAATGACTAATCTGATATATGCCCTCTCTGGAAGCATTAATTTTTGAGAACGAGAATATGACAGAAGACTTCCTGCTGCAGAATTGCAAGCACTTTTGCTGTAGCACTTTATCATACTTGCCTTCCCAATTGCTCAGCTCCCATTAGGCATAATTTATCAAATCTAGGGAGATATTTTGTCTATTTTTTGAAAAGGAGACTCTCCCTTGGGAAGAAAGTGTATGGCATCTTTTTCTATCTCTTAAGTCCCCATCTTTTGGAAGAAAGCCTTTTGTGTTTGGACTATATTCCTGACTTCCAAATGCGCTTGGGTATTCGAATCTTTCTGATCATCGCCATCATTTGATGTAATGTAGATCTCATCTGACATCCATGTTCTATTTCAGGTGTCATAATTTAAGGAGAATATGGGGGGGTATTAAAGGAATGACAAGATAGTGTAACTATCTGGAAGCCATCATAGCACGAAACAGTGGAAAGACCTTGGGAAGTTAACCCCGGGTGGAGGGAAACTTGTAGTTGCCTTTCACAGAGCTGAGAAACTGTTATGTAAGCTTATAAGGCAGATCTAAAAGGCAAATTACATCTTCAGCAAAGAAAGAACTTTTAAAAATCCAGAGCCATCCATGAATTAAATGGGCTTTCTCAAAGTACCTCAGTGGATAAATTAACTGCTTGACTGTCTTTCGGAGGTTCTGTAAAAGGCGTGGCTGGCATTGCTAGGAAGTCCCCTGAGTGATGGCCAACTTTTTTTTAGCATTATCATCAGCATGCATGACATGTCACATGGTACTTTACAGTCCACAGAGCTCTTTCACACACATTAGCATTATCTATCATATTTAGTTCCTGCAATATCTCTAAATCCTGTGGTAGTCTTGTACCATTAAGAGATTAGACCTTTGCTTCCTCCCCCCACTATCATGACCCCATTTCTGCCTTACAAATTTGGCTAAACCAGAGCATGTACACATGCACAGATAAGAGCTCTTGACGCATGGAATCCAGGACAGATAAACCCCTCAGGAACAATGATGGAAGTAGTGATACCATCAGGGTAGGAGGAAGGTGGTGGGGGGAGGAAGAAGGGAAACTTGTCTCAATGATCAACATATTAACCCCCTCCCCCACGTACACACACAGAGTGACAAACATCAGAAACATGGGTGAAGGGAGAAAGGGGAGGTATAAGGTATGCAAATAATTTATAATTTATCAAGGGTTCAATAGAGTGGGAAGGGAGGAACAAAATGAGTAGCTGATACCAAGGACTCAAGTAGAAAGAAAATGTTTTGAAAAGGATGATGGCAACATATGTACAAATATACTTGATGCAACGGATTGTATGGATTGTTGTAAGAGCCCCCAATAAAATGATTTTTTTAAAAACCCGAAATCAAGGCCTAAATTAGTTGACCTCACTAAATCTAGTTAGTGACGTTTAAAATTATCATCGAGGTCTTTGAATTCAGGATCTAGGGGGTTTTCTACAATGTAGACAATTCCATATCTAAATTCAGCCTTCGTTCACAAAAGGGCAGAGAGTTCTTATAATCCTAGATCACAGTGTTGCTAGGTGCTGTCCAGTTGGCTCTGACTCAGCAGTCGTGTGTACAGCAGAAGGACACACGGCCTGGCCCTGCCCCATCCTCGCCCTCCTTGCCATGTCTGAGCTCCTTGCTGTCACCGTATCGGTTTCTCTCATTGAGGCGCTCTTTCTCACTGACGCTCTACCAAGCATGATGCATGCCTTTCTGCAGGCGCTGGTGCTTGCTGATAAAATCTTCAAAGCACCTAAAAGTGTCACCGTCCTCACTTCTGAGGAGCATCCTGGTTGTACTTTTTCCAAGACAGAGTTGATTGTACTTCTGGAAGTCTATGGTCCTTTCAAAATTCTTTGTCAAAATTCTTTGCCAGCGCTAGAATTCAATTTTCATTGTCCAACTTCCACACGCATATGAGGTGATTGAAAATAACCACGGCTTGGGTCAACAGCACCTTGGTCCTCAAAGTGACATGAACATTGATTGTGGATCCATGAAAGCAGAAATCTGCGACAACTTTGATCTTTCCTTCATTTATCGTGATGTTGTCTGTTGGTCCAGTTATGAAAGATTATGGTTTTATGTTGAGTTGTAATCCATACTGAAGGCTGTCGTCTTTGATCAGTAAATGCTTCACGGCCCCTGAGGGGCACTCATTTCTGGTTTTAGACTATACTTTATCCCCTTGTTCTGTTCAAACAATGGCTGCTTGGGCAATGTGCACGTTCTGCATGAGCACACGACGTTCTGGAATTCCCATTCTCGGTAATGCAAGCTACAGTTTATTATGATCCACATAGTCAAATGCCTTTGCACGGTCAACAAAACACAAGTTAGCACCTTTCTGGCATTCTCTGCGGTCAGCCAAGATTCACTTAACAGCAGCAGTGCTATCCCTCGTTCCTTGTCCCATCTGATCCAGCTTGAGTTTCTGGCAGCTCCCTGTCAATGTACTCCTACAGCCACTTTTGAGTTATCTTCAGTAAAATTAGACTTGCATGTGATGTTAGGGTGTTGTTAACTAATTTCAGAATTCTTTTGGATCAATTTTCTTTAGAATGTGCACAAATACTGATGTCTTTTGGTCAGATGGCCAAGTATCTGTCTCACAAATTTTTTGATATCTCATGTTTCTTCAAACATCTCACTTGGTATTCTGTCAATTCCTGTACCTTTATCCTTGGCCAGTACCTTCCGTGCAGTTTGGACTTCTTTCAATACCATTGGTTCTTGATCATATGCCACCTTCTGAAATGGATGAACATTGACCAGTTCTTTTTGATACAGCAGACTTTGTATTCCTTCAGTCTTCTTTTGATTCTTCCTGCATTTGTCATTATTTTGCATGCAGAATCCTTCAGTATTGCAGCTTGAGGCTTGATGTTTCTTTACTTCTTCCAGCTTGTGGGATGCTGAGCGTGTTGTTCCCAGTTGAGTGTCTAAATCCAGGTTTTTGTATATTTCATTATAGTATTTTTCTTCCCCAGCTGCCCTTTGAAATTTCCTGTTGGACTTTTACTTTATCTTAGCTTCCATTCACTTTAGGTACTCTATTCATGAGCAACGTTCAGTCTCTTCTGACATCCACTTTGGCCTTTTCTTTTTTTTAAATGACCTTCCTGCCCCGTGTTGATGATACCCCTGACGTCATCCTACAGCTCTGCTAATCTTTGGTCACTTGTGTTCCACAAGCACATCAGAGAGGAGGGATGAACCAAAGAATCTTTGTGATGGACTAGCTCAACCCCTTCATTTTATTTTATTTCTCCTCTATTTTTATTCAAGGCATGAATGCTGAGGAATAGCACAACGGCAAGGGTTAAAAATATTTTCACATACAGTTCTGTGGCACGTTACATGTAACCATTTTGAGCATTCCCTTCAAATTCATGTTCATAAGCATGTATAATAATCTAGATTCATTATGTATTTTACCAAATTAAGGAAACCAGCCTAAAGTAATGAAATGATTCCTCTAGGTCAGTGGTTCTAAACCTGCAGGTCGAAACCCCTTTGGAGGTTGAAGGACCCTTTCACAGGGGTTGCCCAATTCATAACAGTAGCAAAATGACAGTGATGAAGTAGGAACGAAAATAATTTTATGGTCGGGGGTGTCACCACACTTGAGGAACTGTATTAAAGGGTCACAGCATTAGGAAGGTTGAGAACCACTGCTCTACTTTGTCAAATAATAACACTAGTGCTAAACCAGGTTTTCTCATTTGTTACTTCCCGATCTATTCTCCCTGAGAGATCATGGTTGTGTTTCACTCCCTTATTAAAGAAAATTGCCCCAAACCATTTCATGTTAACACGTGGTCGGGGCCAGAGCCTTATTCTGGAACATCTCCCCCCTCACAGTCTCTGAGTGATAAACGTGCATATCATGTGTTCACCAGGATTATTTTGGAGTCTGTTCCGAGCCAGTGATAAAAGACAATGTTGTGGTGGTGTATGAGGTACTGGAAGAGATGCTGGACAATGGGTTTCCATTGGCTACCGAGTCAAACATCCTCAAAGAACTCATAAAGCCTCCCACGATTCTTCGGACAGTTGTCAACACCATAACAGGTATGGAGAATAGAGAAAACCCGTGGCACGCTGCTGCCACTGTTGCTGCCACCTTAGTGGCTCAATCTGGTGTGGAGCTCTTTTTAAATAACAAGGAATCAACTTTCTCGTACTTACATATCTGTAATCATATTTAGAATGATTTCAGTAACTTTCTAGAAATTGAAGTGCTGACTCAAAGGCAAAAGGTATACCAAATGCTCTCCAAAAAAAAGTTATATATCAAGTTGTACTCTCACTAACAATTTTTGGGCACTCTAGTCAACCCTATTATTATTTTAATCGTTGTAATGTTGGCAATTTGTTAAGTAGTTTAGTGATACCTTATTTCAGTACTCACTTTTTATTACTAAGATATTAAAATCTTTCAGGAGTTTGACTTTTTTCTCTGTGAATTAATTTTTTTTGTCCTTTTCCCATTTTTCTGTTGAGATGTTTTCCTTTTTTCACATTGACTTAAAGAATTCCTTTCATTTAAGAATTTGTAGGACTACTTTATAGATTTTAAATCCTACACATCACAAATATATATTAAAAATATTTCCTTTGTTACAGAATTTTTTTCACAATCTTTCACTTTTCATTTAATATTACGCATGGTGGGTTTTTTAAAAGCCATATTTCAATTCTTCAAAAATATAGTAACGTTAATCATTTTCTTCCATTAAGGTTTTTGCATTTGGGGTCTTGTTTTGTACAAGTGTTTGCATGGCATGTGGCAAACGAAGAACACATTTAAAAATTATTTTTTAAGTATAAATATTCAAGAATATCTGTAATCAGTTGCCTTGGAGTCAGTTCCAATTCATAGTGACTCCATGGGACAGAGTGGAACTGCCAGTAGGGTTTCCAAAGCTGTACCTGTCAACGGAGGTTACGACATCCTTCTCCTGCAGGGGGGCAGTGGGTTTGAACTGGCAACTTTCTAGTTGGCAGCCAAGCACCCAATTATTGCACCACGAACCCTCCGGAAGTATTTAGGAAAAGCCAGGACAGTTTTGAAAAGTAATTACAAAGGGTAGGAATAATTTTCCCTGTTAAACATCAAGACATATTAAGTCAGATAGTAGACCAGACAAACAGTTATAGACGCGATCTGTAATCAGAACTAGGACAGTTTTGAAAATGAATACAGTTTGCAAAAGAAAAAAAAGAGCAAGAGAGAAAATGTACCATTCCAGATACAAGATATTACAACATTTTAGTGATTTTTAAAAGTATAATATTGACCCAGGAAGAGACACCCAGATCACTGAAATAAAATAGAAAGTAGGAGCAGAGCCTTGCTTTGCTAGGAATTTGGTATATAGTAAATATGGCCATATATCAAATCAGGGGCCAGTTGTTAAGTTGGCTTCAATAAGGAAAAAAATAAAGTTAGGTTCCTCACTTTGTATCATACACAAACTAAATTTCTGTTGGATTAAGGAGTTAAACACACACTTCACAATTAGAAGGAAAAATAGAATGCCTTTTTTATCTTTGAGAAAGAAAAGCCTTTTTTAAAAGTGTATTTTCATCTAGTTCTCTTATAATTTTATTTCTGATTTAAAATGTTAATTTTTCTTGAAATTATCTTGGTTTACAGTATAAGGTAAGGCTCTATGTTTATTTCTCCAAAATTGTCAGTCAGATTTCCTAGCACATCTATTGACAAATGTATGCTCTCCTTTTTTAAAAACTATATATATTGGTCTGTTTGTACATTTTCTGCATTGGGTATATGCTGCTTTAATTATTGTAGCCTGATGATAATTAATTTGGTAGGTTTTAAAATATTATTTTTTAAAATTTTATTTTATTAAAAAAATATTATTTACTCAGCCTTAAGCCTTAAAAGCTTTGTTAGTACCTGAATCAATTACTGAATATTTTTAAGTCATTTGAGCCTGGATCTTATTTCAGTCCAGTGAAAGATATATGGGAACCACTGTATGCTGAATATATATGTGTGTATTTAATATTTCTTTTAAAAAAATATGGTTTAGGTAAAAGTTTACAAAGCAAATTAGTTTCTCATTCTGCAATGTATACATAGATTTTGCTGTCATTGATTGTAATCCGCACAATGTGTTGGCATTCTTCTCTTTCTATCTTTGGCTCCTCCTTTTCATTTGCCCAGTTTCCCTGCCCATGCTTGCCTTCTTACCTTTTCTTTTGTGCAAATGCTGCCCTTTGGGTCTCATGCGGGTGATTGTGTAAGGAGTGTGCTCTCGAAAGGTGTTATGGTGACTTTTTTTCTTTTATGTGGCTGAAGGGTGATCTCCGGAAGTGGCTTCCGTTCTAAGTTAGAAGGACGTCTAAGGGCCATTGTCCTGAGTTCTATCATGTCTACCAGACCAATCATTCAAGTCTTCCCCCCACCTCCCCAATGCGTTTAGATTTTTAAATTTTACCCTTTTCTTTGACTCTGTCCATCTATTGTGATTCTGGTCATGGTGGGAGCTGGGGACTGTCTAATTCTGTGGTGTCAGGTCAGTGGAGGCTATTGTTCACTTGGTTTATGTGGTTCATTGTCTTCTGGACTCATTGTTTCCTTGAGCCTTGATTTGCTTCAGTCTTCCTTCTTCAGAGAGAAAGAGAGCAATAGTAGTAACTTAGATGGCCGCACAAGCTTTTCAGTCCCCCGCTGCTACTCCTCAAGTGGGATGTAGAACACTGCCTTTGTGGACTAGGTTGCGCCAATTGACCTTGGTGTCATTCCGATCCCTTTGTTCTTGGATAAATGCTTCCCCTGTCATCTTAAATGGTTGATGATTCTCACATGATGGTGAGTGCAGCTCCAGATCTAAAGGGTGCCTAAGGAACATAGTCATGGGGGGTCCCACTGGTCTCTAGCTGACCGGTAAGGCTGGCCTCTTATACGACTTTGAGTTCTGTCCCACACTTTTCTCCCTCTCTGTTCTTTTCAGAGAAGTTGGTGGTGGTGGGTGGGCACAGTTTTGTTCTTCTGATTTCAGAGTTTTGGAGACTGTGGTTTGCATGGTCCATGAAGTCACTGACTGTTTCCCTGTGTCTTTCAAGCTTTGGTGGCATAGTGGGTTACACATTGCACTGGCAACCACAAAGTCAGCAGTTTGAACCCATCAGCTGCTCTGCAGGAGGAAAATCAGGCTGTTTGCTCTCATCAAGAACAAAAGTCTCAGAAACGCACAAGGGCAGTTCAGCCCTGTCCTATAGGGACTGGATGAGTTGGAATAAACTTGACGGCATTGAGTTTAGTTTGGTTTGGGTTCAGTGGCCATCACTCTTCTTTCCTCCAGATGGAGAGAGACCAATACTTGCACCCTTGATGGCTACTTGGGGAATTTTAAGACCCTGGTTGCTGCTCAACAAACTAGGATGCAGAACACTGTGTTGGGAACTATGTAACTGTGTTTCACTTGTTGAAACGATGTTACTATTTGTACCAGTTGACTTTGGTGTCCCCCACTACCATGGCCCTAAACCTCCAGGCCCAGCAACTCATTCCCTCAAGGTGTTTGGTGATGTCTAAAAAGTTTTCCTAACTTTGCCCACAGTATGCTCTACCACATTCATGGATCTATCGCAGCAAAGGTAAATACACAGACACAAATACCTTCTGTCAGATCTCTATATATTTGTGGGTATACACCCAGTCTTCTTCCTATACCTGTTCATCTTGCCTGCTTATGTAAGCATCTACTCATTGATCACCACTATTGCAGGATTGTGTCTCTGTGACCTTTAACTCTTGCAAACCTCATTTGCAAACCCCCTGCGGATTTCCAAAGACTAACTGTTTACGGGAGTAGACAGCCAGGCCTTTCTTCTACGCAGCTGCTGGTGGTTTCAAACTGCTGACCAGCCCAACTTGTAACCACCATACCACCAGGGCTCCTAGCCAGACCCTAGAGCCAGCCACTCAAAACAATGAGATACCATCTCACACTTGCAATAATGCTGCTGATAGAAGAAGGAGGAGGAGGAGGAGAAGAGAAAATGACCAATGTTGGTGACGAGGTCTTGAGGGGACTGAAGTCTCATACATTGCTGGTGGAAAATTAAAAATGGTACAATCATTATGGGGAATAGTATGACCCTTCCTCGAAGTAGCAATACCATATGATCTCGTATTCCTGCTCCTGGATATGTGTATATCCTAGAGAAATATGAGCCATAAACTCTCTCTCTGTGGTTGAGGGGTTGTAGTTTTCTGTACATCTCTGTGTGTGTCTATGAAGTCAAGTTTGTTGCTTGTGTTCTTTAGGAGCCCTGCTGGTGAAGTGGTTACATATCGGGCTGCTAACCGAAAGGTCAGCGTTTGAAACCACCAGCTGCTTCTTGGGAGAAAGACAGGGCTTTCTACTCCCGTTAACAGCTACAGTCTCAGAAAGAAAGGTAACCCGTCACAGTGGGGAAGTTATCAAACAATGTCATTGATATCATATGTAAGGAAAACTCTGCTGGAGCTCATTGAACAACAGTTGCAGCAGTACATTGACAAGGAGCTGCTAGAAATTCAAGTTGGATTCCGAAGAGGCTGTGACACAAGGGATATTCTTGCCAGTGTCAGATGATCTTGACTCAAAGCAGAGAACACTAGAAAGATGTTTGTTTGTGGTTGATTGATTTTGGAAAGGCATTCAACTGTGTAGAGCCTAACTAACTATGGATACCATTGAACACAATGGGAATTCCAGAACACGTCATTGTGTCCCATCACAACCTGTACACAGACCAAGAAGCAGGTATTGGACCAAAACAAGGGAATACTGTATGATCAGGTGTGTGTCAGGGTTGTTTCCTTTTACCTTACTTACTCTGTATGCTGAGGAAATCATTAGAAAAGCTGGACTCTATGAAGAGGAACATGGCTTCAGGGTTGGAAGAAGGCTTGTTAACAACCTGCAGTATGCAGATGATGCAAACTTGCTTGCTGAAAGCAAGGAGGACTTGAAGCACTTGTTGATGAAGGTCAAGGATTTCAGACATCAGCATGGCTTACAACCAATGTAAAGAAAACTAAACTCCTCGCAACTGGACCAATAGACAACATCATGATAACAGGAGAAAGGATTGAAGTGGTCCAAAATGTCATCTTGCTTGGAATCACAATCAATGCACATGGAAGCAGCAGCCAAGAGATTAAATGAACTATTGCAGTGGGGAAATCTGTAACACAAAACCTCTTTAACATGTTGAAAAGCAAGGATGTCACTTTGAGGACTAAGGTGAGCCTGACCCCAGCTCTGGCATGTTCAGTTGTCTCATAGGAGTGTGCAGGCTGAGCCTTGAATAAGAAGACTGCAGAAGGGTCCGTGCAATTGAGTGATGGTGTTGGTGAAGCCCATCTGAAATACTAGGAACTGCCGACAGAACCAATGAAACGGACAAAGTGGTCCCACTTAGCAATCATTGTGAGGATGGGGCAGGCCAGGCAATGCGTCCTTCTATTGCACAGAGAAAGGGTCGCTAGGAGTCAGAACTGACTCAATGGCACCTAAGAACAATACATTTCTTGTTTGGCACTTCTTCTGTTTCAGGATTGTATATAGCTCATCCCACTGCCTCCTTGCCTGCTTGGTTTTTGCTGATCAGTCATAGCTTTGTCTTAGTGGTTTTGATTGCCTCCTCTCCCTGCTTGCCAGGTCACCAGAGTGGCCCTCTGCTGCTTGGTGGGTGGATCCCTGTGCTGGGGGTGGACTTGTCAGAGCATTCCCACACTGCTCAGTGCAGAGGGTTGGCAAGTGGGCAGGGTCATCAGGGTGGTCCAGTGCTGGGGTGTCACTGAATGGGAGGGTACGCTTGAGTGGGGATGTGGTTGTATGGGCAGGATCACTAAAGCTGTCGCCTGTCTCTGGAGGAGGTGGATCACTGGGCAGGGGATGCAGTTGGGTGTGTGGTGCCTTTCTGGGGGGTTGGTTGATGGTCAGGTGTCGCAGTTAGGCAGCCTGAGTCAGTGGAGCAGCCTTGTCTGACTCAGTGGTGGGTCACCAGGCAGGGAGCAGGGTTGGGCATGTGGGGAGGGGCACTGGAGTGGCTCCACATCAGAGGGAATGTCACTGGCCAGGGATCAAGTTTGGGTGGGCCGGGACTTGATCCTGTGATGCAGGGCTCCTCCAGTGTCCCTCACCTCTCCCAACAGCAGGAGTAGTGCAGACAAGGTGGGGAGAAAAAGGGGACCCAGACTGTCCTGCTCAGCAGTCAGAGCTCTGGGGATCGAGAGATTCGCATGCCTTCCATCACCAGAGCTGCGTAGGGAGACGGAGTGGGCTGCACACTTTGCTGGGTGAGGTTGCCTGAGCACCTCTCACTGGCTGCATCAGAAACGAGGACCTGGACCTGTTCAAGTAATGAGGGCTGTGCTGCCAGCAATCTGGTCTCATAGGGAATCTATTGGTTTGTGCACACCACCCAGCTCTGATGGTCAGGGACTACTGTTCTTGTGTAGACCTGTCTCTAGATCCTAGATCCCTCCCTACTTTGTAGATTACAGGGTTCCTGGGATTCACCTCTTCCTCCCTGTGTTTTCCCTCCTTAGAGCTGAGTCATGGTTTGCTCACCTTGGTGTGTCTATTCAGTTGCTGTTTCTTATGGAGGATACTGGCTTTGTCTCAGGATGACCACACTGAGCCTGGATGCCTGGCACAGGAGCTCTGCTCCATGTCCCTCCTTGTTCACTACAGCCGTTCAATTTCACCTTTTGCTCAGTGTTTGATTAAAGCCTTTATCCTGTCTTTTGCTGTTCGGGCCTTCCGAATTGCCATCTGCAACTGTTTCGCTTGATGTTTTAAATCTTAGCTGTGAGGGATACCTGGTAAAGCCGCCATCTTGCCATCTCCCGGTATTTCTTTCTGTAGGGGATATATCAAGGCATTGGAAAGTGGGAATTGAATTTAAGTTGATTGTACTACTTCAGAATTTCCGTCTAGAACCTGTAAACTTGAAATATATATTTGTGTTCTATTGGGGGAGCGGCAAGTCCAGAAATTTATTAACAACCCTCATGGACAGGAGAATATTTAATTTGTATTCATTCCCTAAATTTCAGTGTAGTGTGAGAAATGTCATGTCAATGGATATAGTTTAATTTGTAGGGTAACTATACCTAAGAAGACACTTTGAGCTAGAATACTCCTTTTACCCATGAAAATTTTATATCAATATGTAGATTGCCATCCCTACTGAAAGCCAATACATTATTCAAACTGCAAGCAATTGTGGAATTTGAGAAACTAAGTTCAGGTTACTTTCAAAAACAAAATATGATAGCTGTTTCTCAGGTAACATTTTTTTCCCAAGCCTTTTTCCTGCTTGAAGAGCCAGACCAGATGGCGACAAGGGGTTTTTAAATAAGTGAAGTTACTCCTTGTGGAAACTGGGAAAATTCTTATCTTCTCTTTGAGAAATTCTTCAATTGAGTGCATGAGTAGTGGGAGCCTAGAGACTTAGAGACTAAGGTTATTAGAATCAACTGGGAATTAAAGTACAGTGACATTAATTTTCACAGGCAGCACCAATGTGGGTGACCAACTTCCCACTGGGCAGCTCTCAGTGGTGCCTTGGCGACGGACCGGGGTGAAATACACCAACAACGAGGCCTATTTTGATGTGATTGAAGAAATTGATGCCATCATTGATAAGTCAGGTATGTGCTTTAAATCTGTTCTTGGAGCTATGAAAATAAAAAGAGACCCATGTCATGTGTGCTAGTCCCAGAATGATCTCCCATTCAAGATCATTCATTTTGATATACTGTCTACTCAGTGTCAAGCACTATGGTAGACACTGGGAATAGATTTTAATATTATGAAACAGACCACTGTTTCCCTCATATGTTTACTTGTTTTATTGACCTTATTTTCTTGAATGCAGAAGTAGTGATAACAAAAAAAAAAACACCCAAGTTACCTGTTGATTAGATTTCCATTTTGAAAGTGTTTTACCCCTGGTTCTGATGGCAGAACTAACATAGTAATAAAATTAGAGGGCCTCTTTTCTATCTATTCTGAATTAAGTTCTATAGATTAAGGATTTTCTCTTTACATGAAGTACCTAGATACTCGAGTATAAGCTGAGTTTTTCAGCACATTTTCAATGCAGTTTTTAGGGTAAAATTAGGTGCCTTGGCTGATATTTGGGTCGGCTTATACTCGAGTATATAGGTAACTCATACATTCAACAAAGTCCATAAAAACCTGTTATATTATAGGCACAGCGCTGGATAGCGGTCATTTGATGATGACTAATCTATGGTCGTAGGAAGCCTACTAGGCATCCCTGAGAGGGGTGGCGGTGGGGGGCGGGGCGTGTAAAAGAGGAGAGCAGGCGAGGGGTGCCCATCCATCTTGAACACAGTACAAAAGTTGCTAAGTCTGCATGCATTTGAGGGGGAAAGTGTTGGCAGACACTCAGGATGACAAACTACTGCCGGGAATTAAAGTAGTTGGTGTGACAGCATGGGGAAGCCTAAAAAGAGGACAGTAAGTGATGAGGCTTGCAAACTAAGGAGGCGTGTTTCTTTTCTAATTAGTCAAAAACAAAACAAAATAAAAACAGCAAATAACCCAATGTCCACCAACAATAGGATAAATAAATATTGATATGTTCATACAGTGAGTAACAAAAAAGGAACTACTGATAAACCCAACAGCATGGATGAATTTTACAATGTTGAGCAAAGGGACCTAGATGCCAAGTACTATATACAGTGAACCCTCGCCACTTCGCGCTTCGACTTCCGCGGCTTCACTCTATCGCGGTTTTTGCGTAACAGCGCATGCTCTGTCATTACTGCCA